CGAATACAGGAAAAAGAGGCTAAAACAGCACCTGGACATGGATGGCTGGTGTCTCTATAAATAAATCATTGATGGTCAGGTCAGGTCAGTTCTCCAAGCCGTCGAAGGAGGAGGAGACTACAGAGGTGACGCGAACATTCTCAGCCTTTTAAAACAGACGGGCACTAAATTCCTCTGGCGTCCGGGTCACTCTGCAGTGGGTGCCTGGCCATTCTGGAGTACCAAGGAATGAGACTGCAGACCAGGTATCAAAGACTGGAGCAAGCCTGCCCCAGACCGACACAGCTGCCTCTTCACAGACCTGCAGACGGATCATCCAAGCCAAAAGCAGAGACGAGCGACTAAACAGACGGGACAACGCAGAAACAGGAAGATCTCTCTTCAGGTACATGGACAAACCCAACCCTAAAGACCCTTTGAATCTTTCATGTAGGGCCGATCAGACATTAATCTTCAGAGCCCGCACAGGAAACGTACATACCAACAAGCACATAAACGGAGCCCCACTTGGGAACCGCATTGCAGACACTGTGACTACCACGAGGAGACCTTTGAACATCTTCTCCTTCACTGGTACGAGTAAACGATGAACCAACTCTTGTTCAGTAGCAGTGCATTTTGCTTTAAAAAAGGGGTAAATACCATTTGCTAGAAAAATTTACGTTTATAATGAACACTGTTTTTACACTAACGGTTTTCAAAACATGCGCTCAATAAGCACAGTGTCGCATTTAGAGAAAGGGCGGACTGGCTTTTTAAGTGCGTTTGTTCCAGCTCATGGAATGTAAATCTTTTACATTTTGTAAATCACCCACAACGATTTTTATAAGTATGTATTAAAGAATTGTCTGGAATAAATAGAGCGTGTGTTTACAAAACTGTTGATCTTTTGAGACAAAGGAACACAATAAGTCATTGTGCAAAAGTTGGAGAGTCTCTGTTCAATAGTTGAGGAATTTAATGACAATACGTTGCGCAGCGAATTTTTGACCGCTCTGTAAAATGTCATCATAATAGATGCCAACATTGACTGCACGGGTTGGGTACAGTTTTATTATTTATATAAGTACAGCAAAAATATTTTACCCGAGAGGTGTTGTAATCGTCGACGACGACTGTTCCTGCAGCACAGACAAAGCCAGGGGCACACGTGACATAGCAGTCTTTCTCGTCATCTCCGTCCGGACAGTCTTCCCTTCCATCACAGATTAATGTTGGATGAATGTCTATCGTTCTCTTGCACATAAACGCATTTGTCAGAAACACTCTATCTGAATCTGGGGAGGAAATAAGTTATCTGGTGGTAGTCTAATCAAGCTCAGTATATTACAGTAGTCTCCGCCTAAGATCCCACCGCTTACGATCCCTTTTGTATATTGAACACCATAATTCACCTGCAACATATTTTGGTAACAGTAAACACCTCCAAGAAACCTAGGGGGTTCTCGAGGCCTTGAGATTAAGGTGTTCGCCTCTCATTCAAATGCCCCGGGTTCGAATCCGGGTAGCAACGGGAAAAATGTTCTTCTCTAAAATGTTCTCCTTTCACCTCCTTCCCTGCTCTCTAGCAATATGCTGACGTATGCTTTCGTCTCCACATTCTGCCCCAATCCCCTCACCTCCTTTGCCCCCTCCTCTGGGCTCCTAACTCTTTCTACAGCCTTTCCACTGCGTCTCCTTTGCTCCTTCTTACTGCTGTCTTTCAGCCACACCCCTGATCTTCTGGTAGGAAAAATCTACACCTGGTCTTCTTGTATGTTGGCCTGGGTGCAAATTGCGCATGTTAAAGATCACTTGATGATTCAAATTCGATAAGAGTAGGCTTCAGCCCCCGCCCGGGCATAATTCAAAATGTCCTACCACCTAAAAATGTTAAGTGTGTCCTCCACGCTCATTGCGAGCGCCGTAAAACACTTTCCAAAAAAAACCCCAACAAACTAGCAATGGTATAAACAGGACAGGATAAAAGAATTGGTTCTCTTGTTGGGAGATCAGAAGCGACATGAACACATCGACCAACTTTTGCATATTACGAACAAAGAAGTAAGTTTGATGGCGTTCTCGCTTGTGTTTTTACTTTCCAAAGATTTGATTCCACAGAAAAAATGTTTGCACTGACACATCATTGTATGAGTTTACTTCACCGACTGGTGTTTGTTTTCAGTGTCATTATGCAATCATGACTCATCGCCGATCACATGTTGCTGCAAGAAAGCATTACCTTTTGTTCAAATGTTTTCATGAGTTCGAGATCGGTGCAAGACCCACCTGGCAGAGACTTTCCTATAACCTAGGGTGTCCGCAACTGTATTAATTATTGTGAACTGATTCTTCCGATATTTCGACTTTAAGTCACTTACATGTGTGCCAGCCTCATGTACTTTTGAGTT